GTCACATTAGATAAGATCATAAGATTAAGTCCCATCCCCTACCCAAACCATTAATGCTCCCGTCACTCTCAAATGCATATTTCTCGTGAGTACCCTTATTCTTACGTCATCGTCTTATATTGGAGGGATTCATTTTCGATTAATCACGATTTCGTATCCTCAATTATGATGTAATTACACGTGAAACCCATATAGTCTACATATTTAATTTACGCAAATAACTTTGAAATAAATGATTTTAATTACGTTGGTGACAAAACTTTGATGGTAGACTAATAATGTTATTTTCCCCCGCCAATGTGAGGTAATTTTTGGATGTTAATTTAAATTGGAGTTACGACTAGAGTCGGGGTTATGATTAGAGTTATAACAATAGTTACTGACTATCAGAGCAAAGATTAGGGTTATAATGATAAAATATTAATAAACGGATCATGCATGGCTATATTTCTAATAATAAAACGTTAGTGATTACTCATTTTATAATCTAAATTTCAACACCAGTCCTAATTTTAATCATAACTTAAGTCCTAACCTAATGATAAAGCTAACTAACGTTCAACAAGAACTCCACGTCAGCAAACAAACAAATAGCATTAACCTAAATAAATTCTAGGATCACCAGTATAGTCACAATAATCAAGATTAGCCATGTAGATAAGCATACTCCTAGATCACCCATGTCATTACACAATACCTAAGCGTAATTAATCCTTTATTTTTTTTTCTATCTTAATGTTTAAAATTCATCCAAAGCCCTCATACGATTTCTTTTATTACACATCAATTTCTTTTTTCTATCTTAATGTTTAAAATTCATCCAAAGCCCTCATACGATTTCTTTTATTACACATCAATTTCTCAAAGAAGTCCTTCAATTTGATTGAGATCCAAAGCCCTCATACGATTTCTTTTATTACACATCAATTTCTCAAAGAAGTCCTTCAATTTGATTGAGATCGACCATTACCTAGTATGCTAGTATTATTATTTAAAAATGTTTTTGATAGTACTTCCTTATAAAACTTTAATACTTGGAAATTAATCTCTTAAACCATCTAACTTCTAATACTAAGTCCTTCAATCCTAATAAATCGTTTCAAAATTGGTATCTAGCATTATTAAAATTGATATTAGGCCTCAGTTCTTTTAAAAAAATGGTACAAAATCTTAATTTGAGGACCAAGTAGCCATTTCAATGAGTTGAGAGACTACATATCAAAATATTAAAGATTTAAGGGACTAATATTCGCAAAAGCCCATCAAAATATCAATTATCTGAAAGATAAATTTCAGAAACTAATTTCTTGAAATGTAAATAACTTTTTATAGAAGCTAATTTTGCCTAGATCAGTTTGTTGACGTCAGCGCGGCATCAACAAATCAAGCGCTTGACCCAGCCAGCTGTCATGGATCAGACATCCTGCTCCATGTCAGCACGTACCATAGTACAAATGTTCCTGAGATCTTTACTAATTAATTAATTAATCAGTTATTATCTTAGGATAGTTAGCACTCAAATACTACGTACTTAGTTTCTCCTATCACTTTTGTTTATGTTTTTGGCAGCACTCATACACCCTTAAAATTTCTAAACTTGTGTTACGTAAACGCGACAACTTTCTCCCGAATTTTATCACGCGCGCCACTCAAAGCTAATTTTATAATATTTTAGCTCTTAATATTTTTTTGAGTTTATTTTTAAATCCATTATAATTCTATTTTAAAATATAATCAAGATAGATTTAAATTAGAATTAGGATACATTTAAATTTAACAAACATTAAAAGCTAAAAAATATTCTAAAAATAGCTTATGAGTACCATATGAGAACATCCAAGACAAATTATCACTTTTGCATAAAATAAAGAGTTTCTCCTTGGACGCTAATCTTTACTCTAGTGAAATTAATGAATACCATCTTTTATTTTCTTTTTTTTTTTGTGTAAACCATCTTTACTTGCTGTTATAATTAATAATGTCACACTTTTTTACCCTAACAGTTAAAAAAGGACCCTAAATATTCATAATACCCTCACTCCTCCTCCCCATCCTCCACCACCACCTCCTCACTCCCATCACCTCCTCCGCGTCCTCAGCCTCAATTCCAACTTCTTCTCTGGCCATCTCCCCATTCTCTCCTATTTTTTCTCTCTCTACCTCCTCTTCCTCTTTCGTTCATCTTCTCTGGCCAACTTCCCGGTCTCTCTCCTCCCTCTCGCCTTTCCCACGCACCCATCTCTTCACTCTCCTTCTCAACTCGCCACTATCTCAACTCGCCAAGGGGAGATTTTGGAGGAGGGTACGGAAAGGGAGAGGACGGTGTTGTAGATATTTGGGGTAATTTTCAATAGCATGTAAATGTGGTTTACATAGAAAGTTTGTTTTCCATTAAGTTCACTAAAGTAACAAACGGTCTCTATGTAAAAACCCTGAAATAAAGTATTAAAGTACAACTTCCAAAACTTTTAATGGCTTGTTTGGATTTACACCTAGTGAAGGGAAGTTAAGGGAACATAGGATATGCTAAGTTAAGGGAATGTAAGAGCACATGTAAAACTTGTTTGGAAAATTAGTAAGGAGAATTAATGAGAACTTATTTCACCCCGTTTGGGAAGTTTAATAAAGTGAAGAAAATAAAATGGAATATATTTAAACGTGCATAAATAACATTGCATGTCATTAAGTCTTTTATTATTAGAAGTTAGATAGAATGTAAAATGGTCTCTCCATAATTTTTTTTTTGTTAGAAGTTCCTTTAACTCTTCTTTGTCCTAGTTTCTCCCCAAATTGGAGGGGAACAAAAACTTAAAAAAGTTTCCCCTCATTTACCTTACCTTAGCTTCTTCCCTATTATCTAAATTAATTCCCAAACAAGAATAAAAAGTCCCCTAACTTTCCCCGACATCTTATTACCTCCAGTGCGAACAATCCTTGTTAGGGTACACAAGTGCGGCAAAAAACAAGTTGAAAGTATGCAATTAGCTTTATTATTAATATGGGTGAGCATAGTTCGATTCAAACCGAACAAACCGATCGAATCAGACGAAATTTAACAGTTCGGTTTGGTTTTTATTAGAATTCGGTTCGGACCTCAATTTTTTTTGACACCACAGGATCGAGTTGAAGTTTTTTCAACCCGAACCGACCGAACCGTCTGAATTGTATTATCCATTCTAATTACTATTTACATCCGCTTAAACCCGACCCATTATAGTTCATATAGAGTTACTTCTCTAAAGCTTGATATATTTTTCTCTCACACGACCTAATAACGATAAAATACCCCAACAATAGTGTCCTTTATAATTCTAAGGGTTTTTTATTATCTCTAGTTCTCTATCCCTCTCTATTACATATTCGCTTCTTCTACTTTGAACCAATCCACTTTTTATTATCTCTAGTTCTCTATCCCTCTCTATTACATATTCGCTTCTTCTACTTTGAACCAATCCACTTCGGAGATAAGAAACTTAACTATAATATTGATTCTAACATTTTCCTGATTTTTCTCCTCGTTTGTTAAATTTTTGGACCATACTTCTCTTTGAATCAAACTTATAATTTTATAAAAACTATACCCAACATCCAAGTTATTCCATATTTTTTATTTACTTTGTCTATCAGATTAAGTTCACTTTAATTTTTATGTAAGTTTTCTCTATAAAAAATTATGCAATCTTTGGTAGGAATAAGATTTTGATCTCTACATCTAATATTCAGTAGCATTTAATAGTTTATGAATTTCAGTAAATTGAAGTGTAAGAGACTTCTTTCTTCGTCAACAGATTAGAAGTGAGATTGAATTTGGGCATAACATTTGTACCTAAGTGAAAACCGAACAAAATCGACCCGAACCGAACCGACTTGAATCGGTTCGCTTCGGTTTTGAATGATAGGTAGTTTGGTTCGGTTTGATCAAATTTGGCAAAAAATGGGAACCGATCTACAGATTGCACAACCCTAATTATTAACCTTTACAAATGGGAAATTTACGCTTTTGCAAGACAATAATTCAGGGCCCAGGACTCCCCCAAAAGGGATATAAAACGGAGAGCGGCATCGCCCTTTTCACCTCCTCTCGAATCTAGTAAAAAAGGGAACATTTTGATGCTGTTTCTGTTTGTAGTTGAAAGTTGGTTCCTTTTTTATTTTGGTTAGAGCTGTTTATCTTGTGAGTGGCAAATCTATCAAAACTTTAAAATTATGACGAAAGTGTAGAATTATAATTTTATATTTCAACTTGTTCTCAGTAGGTTGGGTGCTCTTCTTATGTGTCAAAATCTAGATTCACAGTGTTTATGTGCCAGTTATTGAACTGAGAAAGTCCCTTCCACTGCATCGAAAACTCCAAAATTGTGATAAGGATTAGATATTGTGATTTTATGTTCCAACAGTGAATAGTGTTGGAGTTTGCTGGGCTTGCTTTTTGAGTTAAATAATTCATTGTACTAATCCCAATCCTCTCTATTACTGTTTCAATAATGCAATCCAAAATTATGAAGTGAATTTTGGTATAGAATGTTCACTCTAGTAAATTAAAAAAAAAAAATCTACCTTAAGCTGGAAGATTACAGGTTTTTGGATGTAGAAACAACTCTAGAATCTCAGTTTAAATTGGGATACCTTAAGCTGGAAGATTACAGGTTTTTGGATGTAGAAACAACTCTAGAATCTCAGTTTAAATTGGGAAGGAAACCTCAGTTTGAGTAAGAGATCTCTCTGTTTGGTTGAATTTTTGTTGAGTGTGATGTTTGTTTTGTATAAAATGCTGTTTGTGGTGTTTATTTAAAACTTTCTGCTATTTTTCCTTGTGATTTTGTACACAACCATAAACCTCATGCTTCTAGCCAAGATGTAAAGTTTTCTGTGAGAAAGTTGAAGCTGAGGCTCCCTGGTTCCATGGTATGAATCCATTTACGATTAAGTTTGTACAAATTTAGTAATTCTTGTTCATCTTTTAATATATGTCATGGTTGTACATAATACAAAGTGCTTTCAGGAACCAATTGTCTGTGCTACAACTGAGGCTTGTAGCACGATTTGCTTAGATGAGAAGTCTTGTGAATAGTCATGTGTTTTTGACAACTAAGTGTACATTAGGATGTGCCCTTGGAATTATTAGATGTAAAGCTGTTTTCTTTAGCAGTATTGAACTTGCAATTGCTAATGCTATGAGTGTTCCCTGTTGATCTACATTTTTTCTGCTTTGTTTCACTTGCTACTGCTCAAATCGATGGTTAGTTACTGAAATTTGGAGCTCTATGCTCTTAATTGTTGAGTCAAGATACTAGTAACCTATATTTCTTCTGTAGGATCTATTTTGATTGCTGAACTTTGTTCTAACAGGTTTTGAGCTGTCATCCTACCACTTGGTTTAACTTATGAGGATCCTGCAAAGCTGCGTTGGAGACTCAAGAAAAATAAACAACTCGTATTAATCATCTTAAATTCTGAAAGCTTCATCCACCGAGACTTCTCAAGCTGGAGAAGAGTATATTGTCAAGTAGCAGGAATTCATTGAAAATGACCTACTCTTACATGCAATGAACTGAAATGGTGACCTCTCAGGTAATAATGTTTTGGAGTGTTCCGATATACTTTTTTTTTTATTGCTTGTACCACATTTTTACTGTAATGCATGTATAACAACCTTGGATTATATGAGTGAATTGATAGCAGGATCTACATTCTCTTCTATTCATGTTAAATGATTTGTGGATTTGCCTTCGAACTTTTACATGCTTTTATTGAGCCTCTGAATTTGATGTGCAAGATATATGATGTGCTAGGCCAAACATGAACATTCTTGCTGATGCTGTGTTTAAATTTATAAAGGAGCAGCATATGCTGCAATTCCTCAATACTTTCTTATGGAAGGAAGACGTGCTTATATCTTAGCCACATTATATAATCCATTTTTTTTGTTTTAGACACAAAGCTTCTTAGTCAATATGTGGGTTCAGTAACTTTGCAAGAATTTGTAGTCTGTTAATTGGCGAGAAGGTTCTCTAGGTTTCTCTTGCATATGAGCAGGAAGTTCTTATTTCGTGCTAGAATGAAGGAATTGAACGAAATAAATTGACATTTGCTAGCTGTTGCCAGTCATATTTTCATATAAATCTTACCATATCTTCCTTTCCTAATTTAATTTTCTCTTAGAAGGATTTTTCAATGCATTTAATTTATAGCATGGTGTACAGGAACCTCTGACGACCAGAGAAGCACAAGTTCCTTCTCAAGTTTCACAAGAATCACAAGATAACCACCAACATAACAGCGGCACTGAAGCTCCTGCTGCAGATGCAGGTTCAATATCCATTGCGAGCAGTGATAATAGAAAGGTTTCTCGTGAAGATATTGAACTTGTAAGAGTATATATTTCCTATCCTTCTATCCTAAAATTTAAATAATATATGAACTCCAAATTTGTGGAAGTAATCTCTCATTCCCAATTCCGCACTGAAATTTTGCTGCAGGTCCAAAATCTGATAGAACGATGCGAAGTAATCTCTCATTCCCAATTCCGCACTGAAATTTTGCTGCAGGTCCAAAATCTGATAGAACGATGCCTACAGCTGTATATGAATAAAGGGGAAGTGGTTAGGACTCTTTCCAATCGTGCTCGAATTGAGCCTGGTTTTACAACTCTAGGTGGGTCAGTAAATATTTTAATTATTGATAAGTATACTTGTGTCTTTCATTCAATCTTGCTATGTACTACTGTATATGAATAAAGGTGAAGTGGTTAGGACTCTTTCCAATCGTGCTGGAATTGAGCCTGTTTTTACAACTGTAGGTGGGGCAGTAAATATTTTAATTATTGATAAGTATACTTGTGTCTTTCATTCAAACTTTCTATGAACTACTGCTACTGCTACAAAAAAATTGGTGCATCCAATTGGTCTTGCCCACCAAGATCCAATACTGGATTTCCTCTTCCCTGCTTATTCTCTCTGCAACAGTTTACCAGGTTTCTCGTTGTTATATGAATGTCTCCTGATGTTACACTAGCCTAGTGTAGGATGAAGACTAATATGAACATGATTTACCAAACCCATATTTGATATCTACAATGCCTCCTCCTAGCATTTGGTTGGAGTTGTTGGACTTGACCTGGCTCAGAAAAATTCCTCATTGTAAATGAACGGAAGCTGAATCGGATTTGCAGTTGTTGGACTTGACCTGGCTCAGAAAAATTCCTCATTGTAAATGAACGGAAGCTGAATCGGATTTGCCCAAACTTTACTTTTGTTTGAATATATATTACCCATGGTTTATCCTCTACAGCAGGCCTTTTCACCTGCTAGTTTTTCCTATTTATGAACGTTGACACCCGTGTTGATTGTAGAGTACTTCGTAATTCCTACAGTTGAAGCACTGGAATCTTCTCCTTGACATTCCTCTTCTCATGTTCAATTCCTACACATGATTTATACTATCAATGTATTTTTGCAATACCTTTTTGTATGTTCATACTGTCAGAAATGTGAGGGCATAGATTGCATTTGAATGTCAACAAGTACATAGAATATAGATGCATTGAAGGTAGATTGCCCATGCCAAGCATGATATTTACTTCAGTTATAAAGTATAATTCTTAAACAACAGAAGATCATATTTATAAATTGTCGAGGATTAGCAACTGCATTTTTCAAACTGCAAGCATCTCAGATATGTACTGTTTGATCTTTTTATCTTAGTTTGTTTAAAGTGTAAAAAGCGATCCCCTAGGACATACGCACAAATATCAATGACACTTAATGTCGCTTGATAATATACCTTTCAAATTTCTATTTTTGTATCATGAAATGCATTCCATTTTTTTGATATCCCACTTTTTATGTCGTTTCAGTATGGCAGAAACTGGAAGAAGAAAATGCTGATTTTTTTAGAGCTTACTATATCAGGCTGAAATTGAAAAAGCAGATCATCTTGTTCAATCATTTATTGGAACACCAGTACCATTTAATGAAGTATCCTGTACAACCTAAGGTTCCGTTGGCTCCAATGCAAAATGGGATTCATCCTCTGCCTGGTAATTTCTCTTCACTCAAAATTTTCAGTTTGCCACGTCTTTGAAAATTGAACTAGATCTGAAGAGTTAAAAGAGGTATTTCTAAAGTGATGAAGTACCTGAACTTGGAAACTTACCAGCAATCACAATTATAATTCCATTATGTTGTTGAACTTAATGAATTCTATTTTTTATTGAATCTTTTTTTTTGGTTAATTACCATGATAATATTCTTCGTCAAACACTCAGAGAATTATGGAATCTTCTCATTACTACATTCATTTTATTTATTTATTTATTTTTTATTTGATCTGTTGTGGTGGAAGATGATATTACCTTGTCAATATACCATGCTGTAGCTTCCAGAAGTTACATCATTGAAGATCAAATAGAAAAAAGCAATTCAAATACTATGGTATCTCAAGAAATCTTTTTGTTCAAAACTTTTCTGAGAAGCGTATAATTTTCTGAGCTGATGGGGTTTATTTGCTGCAATTTTCTTGATCTAACCACCTTGTAAGCAGCTCAACTTTATCACTCTTATTCAATGCCAACCTGTTTGCAGTGCAGTTAACAATTTACCAATGGGCTACCCCGTCATGCAGCCACCTCTAATGCCAGCTACGGGCCAGCCTCATCTTGATTCTATGGGACTGCCAAACTGTCATGTAGTCAATGGAATTCCTGCCCCAAGCAGTTTCCATCCGATGCATATGAATTCTGGAAATGAGTAAGAACTCCACTATCTTCTTCTAGTGAGCTCTCTGAGCATATTGCAATGATACGTTTAAGTTGTCATCTAAAACAGATGAATCTAAACTAAAAAAAAGTGATCCTCTAGTAACTTTTCTTGAAGATATTTTCAGTCTTCTGTATCTATTTTATACAAAATTTGGGTTGAGGTTTCATCTATGATTGATATTCTTTCCGATTTCTGTTTTAAGTATCAGGATGGAAAATGGCTCATCGGAAGCAACACCCATTGTACCACCATCCAGTGCGATGTCTACCATGTCAGAAATAGCTGTGAGTCCTGCATCAGCAGCATCCAGTAATCATTTTCCTTTTGCTTCATCTGATATGCCAGGCATTGGCATGGATGTATCAGCAATGGATACAACCTTCGCATCTGATGTGGTGACCACAGGAGGCTTGCAGCTTGGACCTGATGGGGGTATAGGGTCTTCGAAAGACCCGGACAGATCCTTAGGACACCTTTGGAATTTCACTTTTCCTGATTTAACAGCAGATTTAACTGATTTGGGAGGTAAGGTTATATTGTCACGCGTGCACACTGAGATGTACGTTAGAATATAAAATTGTAACCGCAACCTCATGAACAATGTTAGGTTTTTGTTACAATATAAAATTCTAACGCGTATACATGTGTTAGAATATAAAATTGTAACCCTCAACATTATAATAACTTCAGAGTTTTGTCAGAATACAAAATTATAACCGCCAACTTCTATCACCTCGTAGCTTTAATGCAGCGGAAGGGATTTGGATATGGTATCCTAGCAACCCAAGTTCAAATCCCATTTGGCATACATTTAAAGCGGACTTAAGGAATAAAAATAAGATACCGTTGCGTGAGTCCATGTTTCAACCCATAAAAAAGGCAGGTAATCACAATCATAACTTCAGAGTTTTAGTGCGGTGGAAGGGACTTTAAGAATATCACATTATGTACACGAGTATGATTATTTCTAATTGTTTCTGATGACAAGTTGCATTAACATCTTAATGGAAAAAACTGACAACGATAAATCAACGAAATTAATTTGTTAAATGATGTAGCATGACATGGTGTTCTTTAATTTATCAACAGAAAGTTTAGTATGGTTCACTAATATGCTGATTTAAGATATGCTGATTTTTGTTTATATTTATCTTTTATGATTCTGTGTTCCTGTCACAGATCTTGGGGCTCTCGGTGAGTATGATGGCTCTCCATTCCTGCCATCTGACTCTGATATCCTCCTAGACTCCCCAGAGCACGACGATATGGGTAAAGCCAAACCTGTTCTTTTGTTATTTATATACTTAACAGTTCATATCTTATTGTAAACGGAATAATTTTTTCATACTTTTGCTAATGATAAGCTTCTCCTTCGCTATTGCTGTTAGTTGAGGAGTTCTTTGCTGATACCATAACTAACGGGCCAGCATCTGATGATGAGAAGACATAGAAAGGCCATTTTTCCCTTCTATGTTCAAGGGGTAGGCTCTGAGCAAGACGGGCATCTCGTATTATGGCTCCTCATCTACATTACAGTGGAAATCCATAAGGAGTTTAGCTGATAAGAGTTGTCGAATTAGAATTTCGTAATGGACGCATGTAATAAAGTCGCTAGATTGCGCCGGTTCATGGAAAATGAATGTTGTTTATAACATTGGGTCCTTGCATCTACCTCATAAGGTTATTCCTAGGATTCTTTTCGCGTGTCTTGATTTCGTTCTTTTGCATAGAACATCGATGGTGCACGAGCGAAGGGCGCATATTTGCTTTCACCTTCATAATGGTTCTTATGTCTCGACATTTCCTTGATGTATTTGATCAGAGAACTTTATTGTTCACTAACAAAAATATTATTAAGGAACTCATGTATGCCATTGCCCGCGTATTACACATGCAAAATTCGAACTGTAGGATAGCAATGTGCCTGAATTATAGCCATCTTAGTTTCTCACTCATTTTACGATCATGGCATAATTTCCTAGTACCTATAATCTATTTTCGAAGGAAACATATTATTCATATGTATAACATATATATGGAGTAAATCTCCTATGAACTTCCATAGATAGAAATTCTTGTTCATCAACTTTTTAAATCTTTGATTTTGCTTTGAGATTCGTGCTAGACATGAATGTATATTTGAGATGTTTGTATTGATTTGTATCACATGCTAATACAAATCTCAAAGTAAAATCAAGGGATAAAAACAAGTTGGTGAACGATAGGTTCCTAACAACTTAAGTTTATGGAAGTTTTACTCCACACGTATGCTATTAATCTTGAATACAACCTCAGGATGTTATTATATTCCATCAGATCAAAGTGCAGGCGAGGACTTTTTTTTTCTTTTTTTTTTCGATAGGTTATTAACATGCGATAAAGGACAAGTGGAGTCAAGTGAGTATGTGTAATAGATGAATTCATTAAATCTTAGATATTTCTTCTTCAATATATGCTCTGTTTGTTTCTCTTCCTGTTATGTTATATCTGATAAGCATAATGGCTATTTTGTTCACCAATTCATTTTTAACTTCTTACCATAAAACCCATGACATCATATATAAATAAAACTTACTCCAATCATCCAAGATATGTATAAACAACAGATTATTATTATTATTATTATTTCTTATAGCCATTTAACAGGTCCAATAACATACCATTTACTAAAATCCAGCATAATAGACGAAGTAAATCAAGATTTAGAAAATAAGAACACAAAGTCAACTATTTATTACACTAATGCATCCAACTTGTACAACAAACTATGCTATACATACAAAGCCTGAAAACTGTGAAAACCAATTTACATAATTTGTGATTACTCCGGAGCCAGATGATCACCCTACCATGCAGAAGTAGCATTGAGCTCTATCAACTGAGGGAAGAAGTGGCTTTACTAACAATTCTTCACAGTTCTACTTTGGTGAACAATGTGCTTTTATGAGATAGAATCACAAGCACTTGAAACTCGCTTCTACAATAGTATTTTATCCTACCTTGGTTAAGCAGCATTAATGCACATCTTGACGTTTCTGCACAGTAGAGCTATGAAGGTTTAAACATAAAATGATTCATAATTAATTTATTGGTAATTTCTCACAGTCGTGAAGTGAATTTCTATCGCGCTAAAGTGTACAGTCAAATTTCTTGAGCTGTGTTTTATGTGAATAGTGCTCTGAAAATTGAAGCATAATATCCCTTTTAACTGCGAGATGTTAACAGAAATGCAAAAATACAGGTGTATCGTAGGTAGATACAGTCAACGCTAATAAAAAACTCTTATATAGTGCGTCGTCCAGCTGTACAAAATAAATAGTTGCATTTCCTCACATTCCACGTCAATGTGCTACAAAGAAGGTCAGTAAGATACTCTTGGTTCTAGCGCGAATGCCAGATTTGACGTAGGAGATTAATCTCATGACTTGGGTGGCCCCGACAGATTACAAGGTATATGTGCAGCCAGCACAAATCGATACAGATCTCTTTCTCTGTATCTAGCCATCCTTGCATTCCCATCGCCACAAATCCACTGCAAGATCTCCCCTAGCGATCATTACACCCAAAGGATTAGGGAACTGCATCGCTTGGAGAAGTAGAAGTGGCAGCTTCTCAAATGCATCACGGGTTTCTATTTTCAATACAACTCCCAGATTGTGTAGCTTCTTTCTGGCAAGCTCTTGCATAACAATATCGATATCAGATGTATTTCTAATGAATGAAATTCCAACCATATCAGCATTACTAGCAACAAACTCAAGATCCTGAAGATCTTTAGATGTGAGACCTTCGAACTGCATTGAGCTCTCAGGTATGTTTATTGATTTACCAGAACCTAGTTTGGAGCCATTAGGTCTTGCATGAGTGATTGACACAACAATCTCACTACTGTTAACCCCTCGAATAACTCCCCAGATTTTCCCATCGTCAAATGCAATTGGCTCGCCAGGTTTAACAGAATCAAAAAGGCGCCCAGAGTCGCATGTGATTTTAAGAGCAAGAGATGAACTGCTGCCTATATTACTGATGGATGAACAGGAATCTCTGTAAATAGTTAGTAAATCTCCTACTCTCAGTCTAATAAACTGCTCTGTAGAAGGAACATTCACAATGCGTCCAACTGAATCCTTACCCTTCTTTCTCTCAATCCGCAATCTGGTGCCAGATGCAATATAAGCAGTCCTTGAAACCTCAACCGTATAGCCATAACCAGCAAAAACAGAATGCTTTTTGCAAACCTTTAAAGATCTATTTTTCCCTCTAGCATCGACAAATCTTATAATGCTACCCACCTCAAGTTTGTGAAGAAATCGCTCACTTTCTACATACAGGACGGCTTCTGGTGATATGTGGGAAGGAGGATCACATCCTGAGTAAGATAACCAGACCTGAGCGGGAACAATCACATTTCCACTCACATCCTTTTTTGGGGATATTTTCATCACACTCGGCCCCTTATTCAAAAACCCTGTCCTCAGCTTTGGCCCAGCCAAATCCATCAGAATTCGACATGGCTTTTCCAGCATCTGGGAGCTGTGCTTTGCTTGCCTGATGATTTCACTCCAAACACTAGAGTCATCATGTGCAGAATTAATCCGTATTATATCAGCTCCGGCCTTTAGAAGATCAGGAAGAAGCTGTTGCTTGGCGATTGCCTCTTTCCCAACTGTTACCATTATATGTACTTCTTTCTTATTGCAAACTGTTCCAAGTAGTTCAGTTGCATGCATTGATGCCCTTTTCCTCATCAGACCTGTTTCCATTACCTTCTGATTTTCCTCACAAGTGACTCCGAAAGAAGCATCCAATACATTTAATTCTGCACTACAATATTTAGGCGCTTGTTTTACCAGCAGACTAATGCAAGAATTGATACTGGCGAGAACATGTGAATTAACACCGTCTAGATTCATAAGGCCGATGGAGGAAAGCCCATCAGTCAGTTGTTGGACATCGAGGGAACGTAGTGCCAAATAATGGATCAAATTTGTCGAACTAACCAAATATTTTCTGCCAAAAAGAAAATAATAGGTACATAATTTCAAATGGGAAGCAAATAATGTAAAGTATTACTTGCTAGCAATTTACCTGTCACACATCTTGAGACGTGGAGCATTCCATTGCCCTGCAGCCAACACATGCAAAAGTACAGCCTTTAACTTGTCAAGGTATAGTTCATAATCGAATGGATATTGACAAAGATCCTCCTTAGCAATAGACTGACACTTTGAGTCTTCATCTAATTGAGAGTTAAGTGTGCTTGGGCTACTAGATGATTTCTGAGAACTAGGATTGCTTTCGAATTCATGAGTGGCAGCATGGAGTGTTTCCTTACAAGGTTTCCAATCGTTGCTCTTGGGATCATCATTTTCCTGTAACTTTGCAAAAAGTTTGAGATAGTTGTGTAGGCTCTTCTTTGATCTTAACTGAAGCTGGAGAGGGTGATACCCTAAATTCAGAGATGATGAAAAATGCCCATGAAGGAAGCTTGAGAGCTGGTGCTCTGATTTAGATCTCAAATCTTGAAGATTGCAAGTATGATTGCCCTGAGAAGACCATGCTATATTAGACAAGAGAACAATATGAAATGACAGAAAAAGGGACTAAATTAGTTCACATCAATGTCTTCTATAAGTCTTGTTAGCAACTACTGCTTCATATCTCCACAGAAAAATTGTGTAAAGTGAAATAAAGCATTTTTCAGAGAGACCAGATACTTGAATCCAAACTGGTTTTCTCAATTACAATAACATGTCTGAACTGCAAAGAGGAAAGAGAAATGAAAGCATGTGGTATCTGATTTGATTTTTTTTTTTGGGTGGGGGTGGGGGGTAGGGGGGGGGGGGGGGGAATCAGGTAGATTTTTTCCTGAACAGTTTTAATGTTTTGCGTTTCCAATGGAGAATATTTTTCATTTACAACCACATATATTGAATTTTACCAATGATCTTAGAACTGTTACAATACTTGAAAACTAATGCTGAAATCTTTAGGTCTCTAAAGCTTGTTCAAAATTTCCAGTTGTTTTCTTAAACATAATGCAATGATCTTACAAGGTGACTGCCTTATTAATATTGCAAATTCCAGACAGACAAGATTCTCTAAGTTAATCGGTAAAAGCTGCAGCTATTCATATGACATCACACAATAATTTGCCATGCTATGGTAAAAGCTGCCAGCCTTTCATGACTTGCTCAAATACTCTAATATACCAAGTGTTCGGGACATACCCGGGGCTACGCTAAAGCTAAACCCTAAAACAGCAGAAACGTTATATAGAGAAAAAGTACACCAAGATTTACGAGGTTTGGCAACTGCCTACGTCCTCGGAGTCACACAATTAATTTCTTATTAATCAACAAGAAATTACAATACAAGAGCGGATCTCAAACTTGAGATCTCTCAAAATACAAAACAACATTGTAGTTACATTGTTAATTCTCTTTTTAATTCCCCTCAAACTGAGATGTGGGAAAAAGAATCCCTCTTAAATCTCCATCTTTAATTCACTGTGTGCTGGAGATAAAAATCAAGAGCCACCCCCCCCATAATTTCTCTCTTTTTAATTTCCTCTTTAATTCCTTCCCTCAAAACACAATTGAGAGCTGGAGAAAAAACAAAGCCGCCGCTGGAAAGAGAGAACGCGTGAAGAAGAGAGAGAGAAGCCGCCACTGTTGGATCTAAGCACGAGAAGAAGCAAACGGGGTTTGAGCTCTGGGTTTCTCTTTTATAGGGAAACCCTAGCTCCAGCTGGAGACATGCTGCCAACAGCCTGTCACGGAGCTCGCTTGATGTCGTTACTCGCCCGAAGCCCGCATGCACCGTCGAGCTCGCCTGCAGTACAATTCGAGCTCGCCTACAGAGCCTCGACCTT